GAAGACCCTCAACGAGATGGATTGGCCAGGTGGCAGCATTGATGGCATCAAGTGTAGCAGTGGTAGTGAGGTTGGCCCAGGATCAGACATTGTTTCGTTCTGCTGTGTATGGGGTCGCTATGAGTTGGTTCCAACTCGATGGCACCTAACAACAACAACATTCCATGACTATAAACGGATGTTAGAAACCATTTATTTTCATTCTGAGTTGTGCCCCTTCAGCAAATGAAGGTCCACAAAGCTTTACTCTATGTATATCATCAAGGTCAACTCTACTTCATATTTTGAGTGTCTTTCAACCTGAGGAGCTTAACTTTCTGTACTATATCAGACAGTGTTTTGCAGCTATTCATAAGGTTTCAATGGCTAATGATTCAGAAGTGGTTTGCCTCCCTTTCTTCCTAGTCTGTTTTAGTCTGGAAGCTCCTCTGAAACTTGTCCACCCTAGGTGACCCTGCTGGTATTTAAAATTCCAATGGCATATCTTCCAGCAAAACCACAGTATGAAAAATTGACAGATGAGACCTTATTCCTTACTTGGTTAAATTATGAGGTTGTCTGGTATCTGCTTAAATTTAACATTTATTCTTTCATTCATTCAATAAATATTTTACTTAATATATTCTAGGCAGAGTTATAACAGTGAAAGAAATAGAAATCCCTGACTTCCTTTGTTGTTATTGTTTGTTGCCGTCAAGAAGATTCCATGGAGGGAATGCCAGGTTTGAATTGTTCACCATGTGGCTAACAGACCAATGTTTATTCTACAATATTCCCCAGACTTCCTTTAATTTAAATTATTTATTCTTTTTCCACAGGTAAGAGATTTGCTGTCGAGAAACAAGAAATCCGGTATACTAAAAGTAAGGGAAGATCAACAGTTGGGCTTTTATGTGGATGGTCTGAAATCAGTGCCTTGTGAGAGCTATGCACAAATTGAAAGGCTGATAGAGCAAGGAATAAAAATAAGAACAACAGCATCAACCAACATGAATGCCAGCAGCAGTCGATCCCATATGGTCATCACCATTCAGTTCAAGCAGGTGAGATTTAGGTGAAGGCCAACAAGTGAAGTTTTGTCTGAAGCTGATCAAAGAACAAACTGTGAATATATGAGAATGACTCTGTAGTTTATCAAGGAGAATTCTATGAGTAGCCTTTCTGAGCACTTTCCATATAATAATGAACAGCTTTTAGACCCACGAGCCTAGGTAACCACCAGATACTGAAGTACAGTTAGGATATTTGGATACCAAGGTAAGTTCTTTGAAACCAGATTGATATCAATTAACTAGAATCTTTAATAAACTCGAACACACTCTTCTCTATACTTCTTTTTTTTCTCTATACTTCACTTTTACATTGTGATTTGGGTGAAAACATACAGAGCAAATTGGTTTTCCAGTCAACAATTCATATACATTTTGTTTCATGACATTGATTGCAATCCCCACAATTTTAACAATATTAACAAGATATTCTAATAACAGTTGTACACTTGTCCCACTTCCCCCATATGTTTACTGTTTCCATTTGTCCTTCTTTCCTATCACCTTCTACCTTCGGAGCTCTATCCCTGGGTAAATGCTGCCCTTTTGATCTGGTATGGTTTGTTGTCCTAAAGTGTGCATACTTCCCTGGTATTATTATTCACCTTATAAGCTTGTTTTTAGTTTGGCTGAAAGTTGAGCCAGGAGGATGAGTTCAGTTTCAGATTTGGGGCTATACTCCTGGGGGTCCCACCAGTTTCTATCAGACAAATATAGTATTTTTCTATTATTTTGAGTTGTGTTCTACATTTTTCTTCCACAATAGGAGGCCTATTGAAGACCTTCTATTGTGATCCCTTTCAGAGCAGTTGACAGCGATAGCCAGGTACCAACTAGTTCTTCAGGTTATTCACATGGTCTATTATTCCTTTGGACTGATTGTTTCCACACATCTTTGATTTTCTTTATTCTTCTTTGCTCTGAAGAGGGGCAGACCAATAGTTGCACCTTAAATGGCTGCTCACAAACTTTTAAGACTCCATTTGCTACTCACAAAAATAGGATGTAGAAGATTGTCTTTGTGGACTATGTTGTGCAATAGACCTTAATGTCTCCTAAAATTATGGTTCTGAGCCCTCAGGCCTAGTGATTTATTCCCTCAAGGTGTTTGGTTATGGCTAAGATGTTTTCATAATTTTACCACTGGGTCCTGGTGTGGTACTGTGGGTTAATGCGCTAGACTGAAAAGCCATTTGAACTGCAAGGTTGGCGGTTCAAGCTCGCCAGCTCCTCCTCAGAAACCCTATATAGCATCGCTATGGGTTGAAACCGACTCAATGGCACTTTACAACAACAAATATTTTAAAGCTGTGGTAGTATAGTGGGTTACACTTGGAGCTTCGAACCGCAAGGTTAGCAGTTCAAATCTACCAACCGCTCTGTGGGCAAAAGAAGAGGCGTTCTGCTTCCATAAAGATTTATAGTCTTGGAAACCCAATACAGGGCCACTATGAGTCAAAACTGACTTGACAGCATACAGCAAAAGCAGCATACCATACTATGTAATCCAGGTGTGGTGGTGTTAGATAAGCACCGGACTGCTAACCACAAGGTTGGCATTTCAAAACCACTAGCTACTCCTTGGAAACCCTGTATAGGGTTGCTATGAGTCAAAACCAACTGCACAGCACTTAACAACAATGCTTTACTATAAGGAATATGGTGGCTCTGTAGGATAAACACTGGACAACTAACCATAAGGTTGGTAGTTCAAGTCCACCAGTTGCACCACGGGAGAAACATGAGAATTTATGTACCTCTAAAAATTACAGCCTCATAAACCCTATACAGGGTCACTATGAATCAGAACCGACTCGACATCACTTACACAAAATAACAACATGTTTTACTATATTTTTGGATACATTTGTAGCACATCCAAATACATATGTAGAAATATCCTCTGCCAAACCTATATTCATGAGTATAGTCCAATTCATCTTCCCACACCTGTTCAGTTTACATATCTATATATGTATCAACTCATAGATTATTGTTATACTACTAGAGTACTAGTGTGGATAAGCACTGGACCACAAGGTCATTTGAATTGCAGGGTCTGTGGTTCAAACTCACCAACTGCTCTTCGGAAACCCTATGCAGAATCTCTATGAGTTGGAACCAACTCGAAAGCACTTAACAACAACAATACTTCTTATGGACTGCAAAGTCGGTTTGAACCACAAAGTCAGTAGTTCAACCTCACCAGATGTTCCTCAGAAACCCTACATATAGTAGTTCTGAGTCAGAACCAATTTGACAGCATTTATCAACAACATACTTCTGATGGCACTTAACAACAACAAAAGCATAATTTAGAAATGGTTATTCACAATACTAAGATTTTACCATCCTATCCCCTAGGCCACAACACTAGTCATTTGTTAATTGCCTTTGAGTCAGCTTTGACTCATGGCAAACCTATGTACAATGGAACAAAGCATTCCAATCCCACACAATCTTCATGAACCTTGACATACACAAGTCAATTGTTGAGGCCACCATGTACTTACATGGGCTCATCTTTTAGCACAATATCAGACAGTATTCTGTTGTGATCTCTAGGGTTTTCATTGGCTAAATTTTGGAAGTAGACCACCAGGCCTGTCTCCCTAGTCTCTCTTAGTTCAGAGGCTCCATGGAAACCTGTCCACCATGGGTGACTCTGCTGGTATTTGAAATACTAGTAGCACAGCTCCCAGCATTTTATCAACACCCAAGCCACCACAGTATAACAAACAGACAAACAGGTGGTAGAATACTAGTAATACATTTGTTGTTGTTGTTAGGAGCCAAGTCTATGCCGACTCATAGCGACCCTGTGCACAACAGAATGAAACACTGTCCAGTCCTGCACCAACCTCACTGTACTTCCAAGACAGATGTGTTCATTTTTTCTGGCAATCCATTGTATTCAGTATTCTTCACTAACACCATAAGTCAAATGCATAAATTCTTCTTCAGTCTGTCTTATTCATTAACCAGCTTTGCATGCATCTATTACAATTGAAAATATCATGACTTACATCAGGAGCACTGTAGTTCTCAAAGTGATTTCTTTGTTTGCTAACACTTTGAAGAGGTATTTTAGAGAAGAAATGTTGGAAGGCTTAAAATGATAATATGGCCTAAAGAACTTTGCAAACTTTTAAAGTGCTATTCATTTGTCTTTATAATATTAATAAAATTCATAAGCTTCTGACCTGTTGTACAAGGGGTCACTATGAGTTGAAACCAACACAATGGCACCTAACAACAATGTATTATTGTAAAATGTCATCATGAATAATATGGAGATTTTAATTTATAAAACATTATGCTTTTCTTTGAATCCGAAATGTGTTTAGAAGAAACTTTGAAACATGTAAGCTAACTAGACCTGCTAATGGCATGACCTCTAATGACATGACCTGTGGTACTCTTCCACAGGTTTTCCTAGACAGAGACCTCACCAAACAATCCAGGATTCATTTGGTGGATTTAGCAGGAAGTGAAAGGCAGAAATCTTCAGGATCTGAAGGGGACAGACTACGGGAAGGATCACGAGTTAACTTAAGTTTAACCAGTTTAGGAAATGTTATCAGGTAAATAATCTGAGAGCAGATATTTGTACCATTATTTGTACCATTATTATTATTGACCTTAGGTACAAAAAAAAAATTAGATTAATTAGAATCCTTGGTTTATGCCTAGTTTTTATTTGTTCTTACAAACAGCGTTACTACGAATATTCTTGTACAAATTGTTGTGTATCTGTATATATCTTCTCCTAGTTAGTGCCTTGTATTTTTACTTGAAGGTATCTATTGATGAACAAGTTATGATTTATCTTTTGCTTTTTTGTATATGTCTTGTTTAAGAAAGTTAGAATTAGAAATATGCCCACCTATATTACATTTAAATTCCTGTCCATCTGGAGTATATCTCTGAGTATGGTGTAAGGTAGGCATCCTTGCACTTCCGGCAAGATGGTGGAGTAGGCACATATACTCTCTACAACAAAGACATGAGAAACCAAACACAATAGATGTGAATGATAATCCTGGAACTTTGAGCTTCAGAGGAAAGGATAGAGAAGTGGATTAAATATGAACTAGGAGAAGATGAACAAAAGTGGTGAGAGAGGAGACAAACTGAGCAGGTGAATGGTCAACTGAACAAACACAGTGTGACCATTCTGGACCTTTGCAAACAGCATTCAATCAGCACAGTGACATGATAATTGACTCCACTTGCCCAGGACCATACAAGTACCCACACCAGTGACAGGCAAACAGAAAGGTGAAATCCTCCTCTTGTTCCCCTCACCCTTGCAGTGACCAGAAGCATATCCAGTTCACACCCTCACCCACATTGCAGTCAGTAACATGTCCTCACTCCACCTGAGAAAAGATGCAAGACATAATCAAATTTTTTCAAAACTAAAGACAAGGAAAGAATCCTGAGAGCAGTTCAGGAAATAACAAAAAGATATCTCCAAAGGAAAGACAAGATTAAACCCTGATTTCTCAGCAGAAACCATGCAGGCAAGAAGGCAATAGGAAGATATATGCAAGATTCTGAAAGAAAAAAATTGTCAACAAAGAATCATATACCCATCAAAACTGTCCCTCTAACATGACAGTGAAATTACAACATTTACAGATAAACTGAAATTAAAGGAATTTGTAATAACCAGACCAACTTCACAAAAAAATACTATAGGAGAGAGGTGGCAAATTGCAGACTAGACAGAAATGCTACACACCGCCTCTACAGCAAAGACACAAAAGAATCAAATGAAACACACGCAGATAGATGATAGTCCTAGAACCCTGCACTTCCAATGAAGAGATAGAGAGGTGGACTGAATGCTTACTAGGATAGGAAGCTAAACAGATGCAGCAACAAAGAAAGGAGACAGACAGATGAACAGTACCAGCCCATCTTAAGCTTTCCTGCATGACTTTAGAGACAAGACAGCATCTTGGTGGTCCAAAGGTCTACTGGTGACTTGCAGAGATTAAGGTGCAATTATTTTGTTTCCCACAATTCTCTGGTGACTAGAAGCATGGCTAGCCCTCACACACCCCCATCACAAGGTAGCTTCTACTGTCCATGCAGTCAGAACCACACAATGGTGCATCGCACAGCTGTGAACCCTATCAAAGTGAGTTGGGAGCCATTTGCACCAACCCTGGCACTTGGATTTAGGTGAGCCCTGCTCCAAACCTGAAGTGTTGACTCTGTCCAGTACTAGACTAACCCTCACTAGGATAAGAAACTGAACAGATGCAGGGGGGAAAAAAAGAGAGATAGGTAGACTAGTGACTTATGCTGACCAGCAGGTGTGGTGTGGCCATTTTGAATTTTCACAGCCAGCTTTTTGAAGACAGAGGATGGTTTGATGTTACAAAGATATGCCACTTACTGGCAGAGAGAAAGGGTCAATTTTTTTTCTTGTACCCCACATTATGCTGGTGAGTTATGCAGTTGTGAGCCACATCAAAGTGAGTTGGGAGCTATCTGCATCACCCATTAGCTGGTGTCTGGATTCAGGTGAGGATTGTTCCAAAACTGTAAAGTCAGTTCTGGCCAGCTATGAATGAACAGGAACTTGCACCCCCTGCTGCCCTCTAGGACAGAAAGACCTTGACCCCAGCTCTTTTAGGGTCTGCATGAATGACTTCCAGATGGGTGCCCAGAACAGAAAACGCTTAGGCCTATAGAAACTCTATCTATGGCTGAGCACCACCATCTCATCCCATGCCCACTCAACTCGTAAAGACCTTGGCTGGCAGGATCCCCCAGCATTTTCTCTCTGGGTCAGACAACTGTCCTGTTTTTTTTTTTCCTTTCCTTCTTTTTGTTTATTCTTTCTTCCTTTACCTTTTCTTGCATTTTATTCTTTCTATGGTTGCAGTGGTGGTGGTGTGCCATGGAGTCAGTTCCAACTCATAGTGACCCTGTATAGGGTTTCCAAGACTGTAAATCTTTACAGAAGCAGAAAGTCTCATCTTTCTCCTGCAGAACAGCTGGTAGTTTCAGACTTCTGACCTTGAGGTTAACAGCCTGACTCGTAACCACTATGCCACCAGAGCTCCTTTTTATATTCATTTCATTTTTTCTTTTTCCCTCTATTTTTGCTACCCCAGGCCCCAGGTCTTCTTTCTTTTTTAAGTTCTTGATTTTTCTTTACCACTCTCTGGACTCTCTTTTCTTCATCCTTCTCCCTAATTGTATTTAGTGCCTTTTCTTTCTTTTTATTTTCTCTCTTTTTTCTTTCCTTCTTTTCTCTTTTTGGTTATTATAATATTTTTCTAGCTGCTGTCCTTTTTTTTTTTTTTTAAGTTTTTATTGTGAATTCAATGAAAGTATACAGAACAAAAGGGAAAATTACCAGTTTTACATTCAGCAAATCATACTTCATTTCATTGCAATAATTACAATCCCCTCTATATATCATAAGTTAACAGTATTTACCTCTATTCCTTTTTTTTATGTACACGTACAAAACAAAAAAATATACGTTCATTTAAATGTCCAATGGGCACATTTTGCAAGCCTTCCTCTTACCTGCTGGCAGTTTTTTTTTTTTCTTTTTCTTTTTTGGCATTTTCTTCTTTTGCTGTTATTTGCTTGTTTTATTTTTTCTCTTGTGTGTGTGTTTGTGTTTTCTCTTCTTGCCTCACCCCAAACAAGGCAACAACTATGCTTATATAGCTCAGTTACAACCATACCCTCTGCAGTCCCACCCACTTGGCAAGAGCCAAAACTAGCTGCTATACACTTTATCAACAACAACATCCAACATCAGTCAAAGCCATCATAGACTGAGCTGAATGAATGTTGAACAGAGAACAGTGCACATACTTCTATTATGTAATCATACCCACCAGGAGACAGATGGTGAGTTCCTAAGAGCACACCAACATACAATCATCAATTAAATATTAATGTAATGCCACAATATCATGGACACAACAGACAATTTCTATTCATACAAAGAAACATGACAAAGTGACTCAAACAAGTGACCAAGAGGCAGAGATAGAAAATGTTTTTGAGGAAAAAAGGCATTGGAACTCCCTAAAACAGAATTCAGATGAATGATATTTAGATACTTATAGCAACCATGTATCAGGTTTCTGAGGAGTATCTGGCAGATTTGAACAACTGACCTTACAGTTCAAACTAACTTTGCAGTCCAGTGCTTATCCTACAGTGTTACACCAGGACTCCTTTCAAATATTTAGGTGCTTTCAAATGAATGACATAACAGTCAAGGCAAATAAGGAAGACTTCAGGAAAATAGTACAGTAAAAACCAAAACTGATAAAGGCTTGGACATGATACAAAACCTGCAAATAGAAATCCAAAAGATTAATACTAAGATTTCAGAAATGGACAATATATTGAAAGGGCAAAGGAACAGATTTAAATCAATGGAGTCCCAAATTAGTGCACCTGAAGATAAATTTCTCAATAAATAAGCTAGGAGAACTATCAGAAAAATGAAAAAATCTGAAGAAAGCCTAAGATTCATGTGGGTCACCACGAAAAAGAATAACATATGGATGATTAGAATTACAGAACAGGAAGAGACAAAGAAAAAATAGTCAAAGAATTGTTGAAAGAAAACTTCCCTAGCATCATGAAAGATGAGAAGATAAGCACTCAAGATGATAAACACACCCCAACAGGTTAGACCCCAAAATAAAATCATTAAGATATATCATACTTAAACTATCCAAAATTAAAGACAAGGAAAGAATCCTGAGATCAACTCAGAAAAACTAAAAGTTAACTACAAAGGAGAGCCAATAATACTAAACTCTGGTTTTGCAGCACAAACCACGCAAGCAAGAATGCAATAGAACAACATATGCAAAATGCTGAAAGAAACAAATTGCTAGCCAGAAATCTTATACCCAGCAAAACTGTCCCCCAAATACAAAACCAGAGTTAGAATATTTCCAGATAAATAGAAATGAAAGGAATTTGTAATAACCAGATCAATTTTATAAAAAAATACTAAACTTAGATTCATGTACACAGCAACATTATCCAGATGTCAATCCAGATATAGAAGTATCCAAAGTAAAACAAACATACAAGACTGAAAATAGGGAACCAGAAACAGAAGTCTATAATAAAGACAACTACAAAGCAAAAGAGAGAAAAGTACTATTATAGAGCTTCCAAATGCTGAGGATGTCCTGTATATTTCAAGATAAAACCGACTGTTTGAAAGTGACAAGAAAATGCAAAGTGAACTCAGCACAGAAAATCACGTGGAACAAAGAAACCACAAAAAACACACATAGCAAAATGACAGCAATCAATTCATACCTATCAATAATTATACTGAATTTCAATGGCTTAGGTGCACTAGTCAAGAGACATAGAGTAGGATCCTTCAATATGCTGCCTACAAGAGACATACCTTACACACAAAAATAAAAGACTAAAATTCAAAGAGTGGAAAAAATATATCAAGCTAATGTCAATCAAATTGGCAAAGTGGCAGCATCAATGGGTTCAAGCATGGCAACAATCACTATGGCCCAGGATCAGGCAGTGTTTCGTTCTGTTGTGCATAGGG